GCGGCGTTGTAACTTTTTGACCGCCCTCTTTGTATAGGTAGACGAATACGAGCACTTTAAAATCTGGCATGATTCATTCGGGATAAGACGAAAAATATCATTTTAATTTTTCATTCAAGTCGATATGTATACTTTTCTCAAAAAGGGAAAAATAAGTACCTTTGAGTCGAAACCTTCGCAGGAACAAAGACGGATCCGAAATATATAGCCCTTGAAACTAACGATTCCGAAGAGTCGATGAAGTGCCGAAACATGCTAAGTGACAATCAGTTTTACCATCTACTCGTTTTTGCGCTTTAAATTAGCATCTATGATGTAAACATGTTTAACTTTGATTATGTTCCTCCGAGAGAGGAATAAAAAAATAAATACATGAATAAATAGACAAGTAGTTCCAAATACAAAATTGCCTGAGAGCGCCTAGATTTTTGCACTTCACAAAAAAAGAACAGATATTTCGATCGCATGTTAAGATGCTTCCAAAGTCGCCAAAGTAGCATTTTTGGCCATTATCACCTTTTACGATTTTCTAATTTCGAAAATTTTACAAGAATTTCGAATGAAACGTCAAAGAAGATACCACCTGGCACCAATTTTCACAGATACCGATCGAGCAGAGATATCATTTTTGGCCCTATCCACCATCTTGTACTTTTGAATTTTGAAAATTTGAGTTGAAATTTTAGTTTCTCGTCAAAATACAATCTGGTGCCAAGTTTCACAAAAGTCTTAGGATCAGCAGGACTCTAAATAGAGGTAACCGATATCAGTCAATTTATGAACGTCGAAGCGCCTTCATTTGCAGCTGATACTGTGCAATACTTTGGTGATGGAATAGTTGCTCAGAGCCCCCTCAAGAATGTCGTTTCGACATGATGGCAGAAGATCACATTTGCCGCTGATTATACTCCAGCGCGTGCGCAGTTCCACATTTTCCAATCACCGTTGGTGAGGTACAAAACATTCACAACTCAGTTTGCGACGTTGCAACTTTTTCACTGGCTATTTTCCAAGGGTGAACGAATATGAACACCTTAAAATCTGCTGTGGTTTATGTGAAATACGATGAAAAAAATCATTTTAATGTTTCGTTCCAGTCTATTTGTATTGCTTTTGTTAGAGAGGGAAAAATAAATATAAGTGGGAACTTTAGAACAAACAAAAACGGATCCAAAGTTTGACAGCCCTTTAAAAAAAAGGGCAATGATAGGTGATAAAGCGCTGATTTTTGAGCTTCTATTCGACTACACATCGCCAGGAAAGCTAAAATAGCGTCAGGAAATATCCGTCTCTTGGCGGTTTCACGATATCTTACGCGATTTAAGGTCTAAGCAACCGTTATCAATGCACGATTAGTGTGTTTTTGCCATTCAAGGGATCTTTTAAATACACTGCAAAAAAAGTTCGGTCATATGAGCCGAATGACCGGTATTTCATATCATCCCAATTATTGGGTTTGTCAAACTGAACTTTCGGCTCGTGATCGAACTTTGTCCATCAGTTTACTTCACCGTTGACGTTCCGTTCGACGAACCGAAAATTTGGTTTCACAAACCGAATTAATTGGAATGATATGAGACATCGAACTTTGATTCATACAACCGAACTTTTTTTCAGTGATACTTCTCATCACTTTATTCTCAGAAATCTTCTTTATTATTAATTAATTTTCGAACGGCTCATCGTGAGAATTACTTGCTACGTGCTAATTTGAAGAGAACATTTGGACTACATTTTGCAATTTGGAACTATAAATTCTAGCCCGGTTTAAAAACAACATATGTGTTATTAGTTTCCCTATGCATAAGTGTGTGTTTTTTCAGAAGAGCCAGAATTTATAGTTCCAAATTGCGAAATGCAGTCCATTTATAGGAGTGCTTTAGTTCATACCTTGTTTTTAGTGATTCATTGGTGAGAAGTATCGCCCACCCCCCTCTGCCCATAAAAAAATACGAATCGATTATCCGATTGAACTCAAAAATCTAGACACTCAAATCCGGCAAAGCTGTTTGTTCATTGAGTCGAGAAACCGCCTCAGCGCGCATCGTAAGGGAAACGAAGGGATTCATCCCTGTTCCCCACTCGCAGATTTTTATCGGAGCCTTTCATTCAGAGAATACATAGAGCCGACCAGCGCCTCCCTCCCTCGCGTATACTGTCTTGCTTTTGAAAAAAACCACGTATGTACGCAATGGTCCCCAGCGGAGTTGGGCGGTTATTCCGAACAGAGCAGTTCGGGAACTGGAGCAGCGGATAGGAGTGGCTCGAAACTTTTTTGTGTGCGCTTCAGAAATTCCCGTCAATTTCATGAGGAAACTTTGAATGCTCCGAAC